GGGCAGCTGCCGCTGGGAGCTCCGGGGCTGCCCCGAGGACTCAGAACATGCCCTGCTCACCCCCTCCTTCGGGTTCAGGGGTGGCCAGATGCTGTGCTGGGCTACTGAATGAGGACCGGATGGAGGCCCAGAGTTCCCCACCTGCCCTGTGCACCGGGGCCAAGGGCAGGGCCTGCCTCTGGGCAGCTCCTTCCGCCCTGGGTGGGGTCAGAGTGAGCATGGTGACAACAGGACCCGCTGTGTGCCAGACCCACTGGCACGGTCCCTTTGGAGCCAGGACTGAGCCTCATCCCACAGCGTCTGGACAGGAAGGTAGAGGTGGCGCATCCAGGTCAGCCGTCCCCTCCCCTCGGCAGTCACCACCTGGGAGCCACCCTCTGCGCAAGACCACGGAGGGAGACCCCACCCCCAGCAGGACCAGGCAGGTCAGGCCTGCTCGTGGGTCCCGCTGCCCCCCAGAGGCTGGAGCCCTGCCCGGAGGATGAAGGGCATTGAATCTGGTGCCTGTTTCCTTGTTTTGTCCACCTGCCTCTGAGCTGCACAATCCTTGCGGACCCAGGTCAAGCCTGGTGGTGACAAGCGGTCTGGAGGTGAAGCTGGGGGTCCCAGGGCTGCCCTCCCCGAACCTGGCTGGCAGCTTTGGAAGCAGAGGTCTGGGTCGCTGAAACAGGGTGAGAGTGCGTGACCCCCAGGGTGAGATCACGAGTGAGTGGACCCGGCGCAGAGAAGGCGTCAGTAAACGGTGGCTACGCGACTGAGAGAGCGGGGTGACTGCACCCACTCACGGGGTTCCCAGTCTTGACTCCAGCAGAGGTGCCCGCCCGGGCCCCCCTCCGCTCTGGGTCCGGCCCGGCTCCCATTGGCCAGGCTTTGAGGGGGGCCCTCAGCTCCTGACCGGGCGCCACGCTGGGCCTTCCCTCTGCAGTGCAGACCTGGTGGCTACTGGCCTCTCTCCTGGGTCAGCCCAGCACATGTCTGCTGCCCACCCTGCCCAGCCTCAGCCCAGGACGGAAGCCACTGGGGGTGTCCTCTGCTGACCTGCAGCCCGGGGAGGGACGGGGAGCTGAGCAGGCTGGTCTCGGGGTGCACCTGAGGGCGCGCACTCACCGGGGGTGCACTGACCACAGGCCTGCCTCTCTCTGGGGCAGCTTCTGGGCCACGGCCTTGGGGACTCCCCAGGTGGTGGTGAGCATCTCGGCACCCGCAGAGCCTGTTCCACCTCCAGTCCTTCTGGGCTCCTGGGGAGGGGAGCCCGGGCCGCCTGACCTGCGTGGGGGGCACCCGCAGGTGCACCTGTCCCCCTCCCTCAGCGGGGACTCTAGAGGAATCACAGCGCGTCCTCCAGGCCAGGCTCTGGCTGTGCCCCCCAGGCATCCAGGGGCTCCCTGGGGCCTCCAGCCTTTACCAGACCTGTGGCGAAAGTGAGGTGTTGGCTGTGGGTTTCCTTGTGCGTGGACCATGGCTGCCTTCTGATTGTGGGTGCTCTGAAGCAGGCTGGGGTGATGGTCACGGGCACCCCTGCCGCCCCTCCAGGCTGGCGGCCTCCCTGACATCTGTCAGAGCCCCCCCCCCAACACCGTGCGCCGAGCTGCTCTCTGCTGAGCGAAGACATGGGAGTTTGGTAGCAGAGCAGTGCCAATGAAGGGTGAGGGGTCACCAGGAAGGGGTGGGCAGAATGTCCCTGTGGCTTGTGTCGCCCTGGGAGGCCCCCCCATCCGGAAGAAGAAATGGGGCTGGAACCGGGGCCTCCTGTGAGCTTTCAGGACCACTTGGGAGCCCACAGGGCTTCTCGCCAAGTGCTCTGCGGACCCGCCCTGGGGGCTCTTCCAGGGTGAGAGAGGGTCTGTGGCCTTGAGGAGGTCCTCAAAGGGTCCACAGCCCAGGAGAGGAGAGAAGTGTGGCTGTGAACACGCACACACGCACGCACGCACACGCGGAAAGCAGATAAAAGTGGGCCATAAAAAAATCATTTAAAAAATAAAGCCGCACTGCAGGCCCCGTCTTCCAGACCTGTTGTAGCAGATTCACCCCAGCTGGTTAACGGTATTTGCGGTTTGCAAGATGCTACACGTCCTTGGAAAATGACAGACAAGTTATTATCACCTCTCCACTCTCCTCCTGTCCAAACCTGCCCCTGCCGGGCACCCAGCTGCTGGGGAGCGGGTGCGAGGAAATTAACAGCCACCGCGCCACGCCCGCCACCCCCGCCTCTGCACCAGCCCTGCCAGGCCCGGCTGGCAGCCAGGCTGGGCCCCTCGTGGACTGGGGGGTGGGGGGGGTCCGAGGAGAGAAGCCGAGTAGGGGGGCAGGGCGGACATACCCCAGCATTTGGGCAAACTGTTTCCTGCAAGCACGAAGGAACACATGCACCCCAGAGCAGGCAAGTCTGGACGGCTCTGTGTCAACAGCCGAAGATAAATAAGATTTTATCGGCTGGGAATCTGTTGAAACACATCCATCTAGCGGTTCTAGGGAAGAAGAGGCGGGGTGAGGGGTGCGGAGAGGAAGCATCTTCACGTGACCTTCTCAACAGAAGAGACTAGGACCGGGAGCCCTGCTCCTCCCAGCCATCCCAGGGCAGCCTGAGGCCCAGGAGCTCTGGGAGGAGGGGAAGGAGCTGGGCAGAGCGGGGCTCAGGCTCTGGGAGGGACTTGGATATGCAAGGGCTCCTTCACTGCCTACGGGTCCCACCCTGCACCCGGCCCCGGGGGTTTGGCCGTCCAGGCCTGCCCCTCGCCCTCCCGGGCTCCCCTCCTGCCCTGCACCCCAGCGGCCACTGTCAGCACTGGGTGCAGCCGGGCTGGGGACCCCTCAGGCATCCCTCCCGGATGCTGCCTGACTGACCAGCGCGGGGCCTGACAGGTGTGTGTGGTGAAGGCCACGTGAGCCGCCAGCTGGGGGACGGCACTGGGTTGGGGACACCCCATGGGGAGTTGGCGGCCTTGCCAGGGACACGGGGGGAGGGCTGGGCGCCCTCCTCTGCACGCTCTCTGCTTGCCCGCCTGAGGCACTCCGGGCGGCAGCGCACCGCCGCCGAGCGGCTCC